TTTGAATGAGATAAAAGGAAATTCAACTATTAATGTTTTAGCGCCCTTTTTTTGTTTTTATTGTTAATGATGAAGCTATTAAATGATATAATTTATTCTGTGACGAAATAAGAAATTTGAAATTGAACCTGGTCTCCTCTATTCGATAAAAATTATTTTTACTGAAGTATTTGGATATCTAAATATAAGAATTTAACTGGCCTGAATACAATTATATTATTTTTTTACTGCCCAATTTAAATTAAATTACTGCCAAAAGTAATGAAAAATGCTGACCATTTTAATCAAAAAATATCTATTTCAAAAGGTGATTATCAGGACTGAATATTTAAAATCTAACAATTATTATTTAGAATATGAATTTTTTTTAAAAAAATATTTACAGAAAAATAAATAATTACATTTTTTTATTTTATTTTATTTAAAAAATATAATTTATATCAATCTTCTCTTCTTTTCTCTTCTCTTCATTGTAAAAACCTCTTGCATAATTTTCATCTTATTTCTATAAAAAAATCCATCATGTTTTCTTTTCACAAAATGTCACAAATCTATACTTTTTTATGCTATCTTCTAAAATTAAAAAAGTATCAAAGCTTACCAACCGATTTATCAATTCTCATATTTTAAGATTGCCCTGATATCGCTTAGAATTAAAACAGAAATAATGCTCAAAAAAAAATCCTCAAACGTTCGAGAATAAATACTCAACGTTCAGAAAATACTGAATATAATTTTTTGGAAATATTTTCGTTATTTTTAGAGGTGGGATTATTTTTGATAATTTTAAAAAAATATATTCGGGGAATTTATTTCAGGGGAATAATTTTCTATAGGAATTTTTTCCCTGGTAATTATTTTCTTAGGAATTTTTTTCCCGGGTAATTATTTTTTCAAAGCATATTTTTTCTTGGTATTTTTTTTTCTGGAAAATTATCTTCCAGCAGATATTTTTTCCTTCTAATTTTTTTTACCGGGAAATTATTTTCCGCTTACCTTTAGGCTTATAATATGAAGCATCAAATTTCTAAGTAAATTCTATTATTTAAGGATAAATTTTAAAACAAATTTTATGTAGAGCATGGTATTGCCAAGATCTAATTAAATTCTCTCAAACCTCAGGTATAAACAGTAGCGGTTGCTCATTATAAATAGTATAGTACTAAACTGCCCTTGTTAACATAATTGGTGCATTGCCACGAATTGTCCTTGAAGCAGGGCACACGGTTTTATGATCTATTTAAAAAGTCGAAGAAGAAATTATATTTTAAAAACGCTATTTAACATAGTTAAGTAATGAAAATAGAATAACCAATTGGCTATCCGCCATTTCTCTTTCATTGCTTAGTTCCTGGTAGGCCTGACCCTACATCCCCTCCCAAATGCTAAAAACCAGATCAGTAAGGGTTTCAAATTATATGACTAGAATTTAAAGTATCAACTTTCTCTTTTAGGATTTCATGGTCATTAATATAATTATAATAGTTTATAAATTTTGGGGAGATATGAAGATAGATATTATTCACATCTTTAAATAATCAACCTTCAAAATTTGGTAGATAGGAGAAATAATTTTAATTTATTTACATGATCATAAATTTTATTTGGTTTCAATATTTTATATCTTTTTAAGGATAAACTCTCAAAAAAAGCCAGAATAATATTCCAATTAGCCTCAAGATTTCGCTAATAGATGTCCAAACCTTTGTGCCATCTATGGGACAAATCTTCAGACTTCCGTAATATTTTCACTGAAAATGTTGAGTTAGCTTGATAACAATACTATGCAAAACTATATATCCCAGAATTGGCACCTTATTTTTATTTTCAAGATTCTCATTGGTTATTCATGAGTAACGTTAAAAAATTACGATTTGGGTAGATTTTTAAAAATACTCTTAGAGATTTTGTTTATAAATGGTCGCAAGGTTTTAATCCGTATTTGCAAAATCGCATAGGCTTACATATAACTGATAAATTTCTTAATCTTTCATTGCAATATTATCAATCAAATCTATTTATTCGTCAATTCTTTCGCATTTCCATTTACTACTTGTGGTTTAGCTATCTGAAATATGATTTTCAGAATTTTTTTCCCCCCCCATTTAATATCCTCAAAATTTTTTATGCTTAATTTTCAGCTGTGGGTAAAATCAATTTCTCGTTAGTTCGGGCATTTTAGAAGTCAAAAAAAAAATTTTTACCAAATTTTCCCCGCAAATATGGTAAATTTTGACCCTGGCAATCCCCGGTCATAATCACCCCATTATCAATATTCCAAGATAAAGGATTATAAGTAAGTTTATTAAAATTCTGATTAAGCAACTTTAAAATAAAAAATATATATTTTAATTATTCCATATTAAATAAATAATGACAAAAAAAACCAATGACAAATATCGCTATCGAGGCCCTTTTGGGATAAATATCGCCAAATATCAAATCGGATAGGTGAAAAAAAATGGTGGATAAATCCAGTCCTAATAAATCTACTTTTTTTTAGTGTTTAATCTCGTCTTGTGTAATCCAGTAGGTTACATTATTATGGCTTAAATATTAATTAATCGGCTTTTTAAAAAATAAGGCCAAAATTGAGAAGCCAAATAGAGAGGTTTACGAATTATCCGAAACAAAATTTGATAATATATTTATCAGAGTTGTTAAAAGATACTTTTTAAATGGATCTAGATACAGATACCACATTTTTATATCTAGATACTTGTATCTAGATCCTTTAACAACTCTGATATTTATAGTTATTTTGCACCATTTAAATTTCCATAATTTTCTTCTTTTCTTAAGAAGGAATAAAAAAACTTACGTAGGAAGTTATATCTCAGAAAATAAACTGGATGGGTTAGGAATTGACACCCAAACCCTGATAAAATCAATGCGACTCTATTACAAAGGAGAGCCCATATATTTTTTTTTCCCGCAAATATTCACATCGGTTTATATCAATGACATAATAATAATACCTAGACTAACGATGCATTCGATAATAAGTGTACGTAAATGAAAAACAGCTAGAGACGCCATTTTGGTTACCCATTCTTTTTCGAATTAACATCAATCTGGATCATAGATTTTAAGGATAATATATATTTGTTGTTTTAATTTTAAAAAAAATTAGAATATATATATAGTAGTTTAACATAATAATTACTGTATGGGTTACCAATATGGCGGATCCAGCTGATTTGCGTTCAACGAAGCTTTCAAATACATTCAGTTTTCACAAATATAAAAAAATCCTAGTGTATATAAAATTCCATCAGTAGCCACAAATTAATTTCCCAATTATATAACCTTTTTTTGGCGTTAATGAAAATTCTTCCTTAACTCAAATATCTCTTTGTCATATTTAAAAAAAAATAAAACAAGTATTTTTCAAATATTTAATAAATACGATTATAAGCTATGTTTCAATTAGGTTTTTTATCAATAGTTAAGAATCATTTTTAAATTAGCACCTTCTGATAACTTTAAATTTTGTTTTGAAAAAATGCCTTTTGGTTAAATAATAAATATAACAAATATAATCTAAGAAGGCCAATTTAATTAAGTTCTTATAGGATCAAATCAACTTTATTTAGGAAATATCTAACCAAAATTTGTTGATCCAATTTGTATATCCAAATGCAGCGTCAACATGTGGCAGGATTTTCACTGGAAGCAAACCCCCTTCAAAAACCTATGCCTACCCCAGCTAAAAAATACCTTTCAGAAAATTTAAAAAGAATAACCAGCTAAAAATACTCTTTCAGAAAATTTAAAAAGAATAACTTAAATTATATTATCTTTACTTTTAAATATCGACTTTGTGAATATAAATAAAGGAGTTATTTTTTTAGATATTAAATTCAATTAAACCCCACATCATTTACAATGAATTCATTTTTTATTATAACATTACGAGCTTGCTGAAAATGTCTAAACCTTTTAAATTACATTTGAAAGGATAGCGGAAAGTTTTATTTGGAAAAATAATGTCTGATTGTTTGCAATATATAGATTTGGTTGATGAACTATAATAAAAGTATTAATTTATACACCAATTAATTTTGTCCTATTTGATCTCGAAATTCAATAGATAACCCCCCAAAAAATTTATCCTACCCCCATACACCCCTCAAAAAAAATAGGTTGCAAACTGTCCCCCCCCCCTCGTTCATGTAGGCGCTATCCATATGGGTCATTAAGCCCCACCAACTTAACCTAAATAGCTGTTTTCTTTTAAAATAATTGTCTTATTTTATATAATTATTATTTTTTATTATAGATATGATATATAATTTTTTAGATACGTATAATTTTTCAATATTTATAAACACAAAGATTTATCTCATTTTCATATGTTAAAAAAAAGAGAGGGAAAAAGAAAGAAATACAAAAGATAAACATAATAAATATTTATCTTTTTTTTTGAAGGAAAATTAAAAAAAATATAAAGTAAATGGTCATAGAATAAATATAGATTTAGAAACTAAATTCATGACCCGGTTAATCCTATTGGTGATCAAATTTATATTCTAGAAAGAAAAGAAAGATAGAAAGAAAGAAAGAAAGAAAGAAAGAAGGCGTATTAGTTGTTAATAATTTTTATTAATTATATCCCCCTTACCAGTAGCGAACTAGGTCGGATAATTAAAAAATTTTTAGATTCCGGTAACAGAATCGGTAAAAAAAAATTGATATAATATATTTCATATTTTTTTAATACAAATTTTATAATGTAAAAAGACAAATATTTTATTATAATTTTTTTTTTTAAAAGCTACGCCTTTTATATGAATGGGGTCATGACAATTCTAGAAGTAATAATTACTATTTAAAAAGAAAGATGAATTATAATGAATTGAATAGTGAAAAAAAAAGAGAATTTAAAGTTTATAAAGATAGTGTTTTTGTTTATTTAAAAAAGAAAAGAAAATATTTATAATTTAGAAACATTTTTTTTACTTTAAATAAATATAATAAACTATTATTTATTTTAAAAAAAATATAATATTTAAGGGTTGTATTTTATAATAATTATCCCTAACACAAAATAATTAATCCTAATAGCGGGAGGAGTGTGTTATCACGTGATGCGAATTAAAATCAGAGAATCATCTCGTTGACAAAGGTATCGTTGAGGGACGAACCGCCAGCGTTATTTTGTTTGCCCGCCTTGGTTATCCGCGTTATGAACCTCTCCAGGGCGTTATAAGTGGGAAAGGCCTTGTAATACTTCTGGGTCACATCCTCGCAAACGGTATCGGTATCGTCCGGGGCCATGTCCCCGAGATTTATGTCGTATTTTCTGCGCAATTCTTTCATGCGTTGCAGCTCTTGGATCTCGTCGGCTTCTATCTCCAGAATTCTCTGGCCTATGACCTGGCAATACACTTGTCTGGGGTGCTTTTCGGGCTGGGCTAAGAGAGCTTCTCTGATTTTCTGCCTCGTTTCCAGGGCTAAATAGTCATGCCTTTAAGAAATGTTATTATAAATTGGTATTAAAATGTTTTTGGAAGAGTTAATATTATAAGACCCAGTCCTAGCTCATGTTAAATACGATTTTATAACATTGAGATAATTTATTTCTGGGATTTGCATCACCCAATTTAACACTTCAAAATTATATTGCGGCAAATATCGCTGGGGGAAAAACGTTAGCTAGAAAGGACCCTTATGTCTCTGATGGTTGTGAAATAGTATGAATTTCTTTAATCAAATTTAGGTTTTACTAATACGTTTTATTTCCCCACGAATGTATAGCCGTACATTGCCCTCTTTTTAACAAAATCTATTCTTACAATTTAAAGTTAAAGGCCATATATTATGTATTTTCATTTATCCTATTTTTCCCTCTTTATCAAACAAAATGTTAGTTAGGTCTTAGCTGGAAAAATCATAGTTATATTACCGGTCAGGCTCGTGGTTGTGGGGTTTAGCGTGCTGCGAAAACTTGAAAGCGCCCTGAGGGGTTATCATAGCTCTGGAAGGACAGTGATTCCGCCTGCAGCGCAAGTAGGTCATCCCGCTCAATTTTTGATTGGCCACGTAAAGATAGCCCTTATAGTAAGGCATAAGGGAGCCTATCAAAGAGGGGATAAAGCTAAGTTCAGGGTCCTCGACTTTTGGTAAAGGGGAGGGGGGGGGGTAATAAAATGATATAATGTAATGCACGTATAATTTAATCAAGAGTCTTTGAAAATCTCTGAGAATATTAAGATACAGGTGGAACTCAACTGAAGTTTTTAAAAAATAAAATTATATAATATGCTATGATAAAAATAATAATTTCTGTAGGAGACCCCAATAAATGATTTGTTAAGACCTTTCTTTCTTTCTATTAGGATAATAAAACTCCAAAGCCAAAGGGTGGAGGGGCAATAAAAAAAAATTAAGTGAAGAAAAGTACCGTAAATAATTCACATAATTTACATATTTGTAAAGATAAATAATAACTTACATGTCGCGTTCGGGTCGTGAGGGTTAATAGGTTCACCTCTGTGATCTAAAAAATCATGATAAATTTTTAAGATGTAGGAAGCAAAGATTGTATTTTTTTGTTTTGTTTGAAATAGACTCCGTGTTTACCCATTTTTTTTTTAAAAAAAAAATGATTTTAATTCCTCTAGGTGTTCAAAACGGTGATCCGATAATGGCAAAATTATCGGGCCGAGTCGGAATTTTAAGTCCTTGCTCGTCTTGGCTTCAAATTTTATACTAAGGGTTGCCCATTTTACGAAAAAATAAAAGGCCTAACCTTAAATATTTGTAGTTGAAACACCAAAATAAACAACTATTTATAAATATTGGGGATTGATTAAATTTAAAAAAAAACGCTATAATTTATGGATTATAACTTCTATCACATATCAGAGATGAGTCTGATTATATTATAAAAATATGTATTTCTGCCAAAATAATTTGATCTTGTTTTTGAAGATAAAATTTAATGTTAAGAAGCCTAATAATAATTTTTCATCATTAAACTAATAAACCAATAAAAAAAATTACGTTATTTTGACAAAATTTAGGCTTTGGAATTATTTTTTTTATATATATAATCTCTAATCTTGATTAAGCGGGCTGGGCATCTCTACTTTTTGCCTGCCCTGACACATTAATTTAATTTTGCCCAGACCAGCCTCAAAAATGGGCAGGGACCATTTATTCAAACCCAAAATAATAATTTTACATTCATATATAATAAGGTATTAAGAGCATCATCCTTGCCTTTTCCTCTTAATACACTATTGCTCATACAAGTCTTATAATTGGTATATCGGTTCCAAGTCATAACAATAAAATGGCAGTGGCTCACAAGACAGAAAAAAATTTTCGTCATGTCACAAAACCTAACTAACCCGTCAAAAATGAATGGATAAACATAAAAATATAGCGTACTTCTGGCCAACTTTATTTGCTTCCTAGCCCTGGCATTCTGCAACACCTGATCATCCAAGAGCGTTTGAGCTTGGTTGAGATCCAATCGGTCGTGCCTGTGGCCACTCGTGACAGTAAAGAAACCGTCTGCATCGATGAAGCCTTTGCCTGTTTTCACGAAATGGCAAAAAAAATATATAAAATATTCTATTTCATAAAGAGGCTTACTTTTATTTGTTCCTTTTTAAACTTTTATATAAATTATTAGCTTCATTTGTGACTATCATATGCCGCTATAAAGAAATAAATATAATACAGTAAAAAAAACCCAATTTAAAGTACCTCAAAGGGACCTTAAATTTGAAGCGACAGTTAGACCGTATATAGATAGCATTGAATCGAATATAAACATAACTGATCATCATAATATAATTAAATGACCTAAGTTATGGTATAGTTAAATTATAGATGTTATACTAATATAAAGTATATTAAAAATTAAAACCATTGATATCTTTACAGAATACAAAATTAGATATGATATCGGATAGGTAATCGGCCGATTTCAATTTAATATTGGAAATATCGGATCCTATCGATTTCCAAAAAGTGGTATCGGTACACCCCTAATATATATATACAGTAAAAAAAACCAATTTAAAGTACCTCGAAGGGAACTTAAATTTGAAGCGACAGTTAGACCGTATATATAGATAGCATTGAATCACTTAGAAAAGAAGAAAAAACAAATAATTACATGCTATATTTAAATAAATCGAGGACAGGAAAAAGTAAAAGAAACCGACCTGTGCAAGACGCTTTGCGGCAAGTGCAAAGCGTGAGAGACCCGTCTTTATTTAACTTCCGGTACATGTATCCATCGAAGAAGGGAATCGTTTTGCCCGTTTGGGTCGTGAGATAGTTAGGCGATCCATCTTTTAAAGTAATTTGTTTGTTTTGATTTAAAAAAAAAATAAACATGTTAATTTGATCAGTTTCGACCATTTTAGAAATAGGTGGTTAACGACTTTAATGATTCGGGAAAAGATGAATTATGAACCCCCCTCCCCAACTCATTTTAAAAAATGTCGTATACCCATATGTATAGGTGTAAGTTTTCTTTTAGGGAGGAGGGGGGGGGGGGGTCACGATAATTTGTAATAAATTAGTTTAAATATCGTGTGGTCATAGACCGAACCTTGAGAGGTTTTATTTTTCTTATTAATATTATTTTGTACATGTCAGGGCATCGATATCAACCCAATCATCGCCAAGATCTTGATATTCTGGGCCAAGCCTGATGGGAGCGTTGAGTATCGAAGCTATTTTAGAAGCTAAGGTTTCCGAATTCAAGCCATTCAACGAAGGTTCGTTCACGTAAATGGATTGAGCTATTTAGTTTTTTTTTTAAAAAGAAGGTATATTTTATGGTTATTGCAAGATAGAATTTATAAGTTAATTTTTTTTAGAGGAATTCCGAACTCCCATAAATTTGTGATTTCAAAGGGAAAAGAGCATAGTGTCATGGCAAATTTCCATTTAAAAACGACTAAACTAAGATTTTAGTCCAAAAAAATATCCTAAGTCTTGAGATTTGGCTTATATTGCAGAAAAGTGTGGTCTTTTGACAAAATCTAAAGGCCATGGCGGGTAATATATATTTGGCTTTGGATCTAACACTTTTTTAAAAAGCTCTTAGACTGAGGTTTTGTCAACGCCTAAAAGAGATTTTTAAATTTGTTATTAATGCTTTCATAAAGTTTACAATTAAAGTCGCCCAGCCAAAGCTATAGCAAAATATATATGACAATTTTAGAAAAGAGGTTTATCGTAATCATTCATTCATATGTTAATTCGAATAGTAATAACCGGAGGTATTAGACATCATGCAACCGGCCTTGAGAGTGGCAGTGTTAGAGGACGTCATGCTAACGTTGTAATCTGTTTATTCATAAATTAATCATATTAAATAGCCTTTAAAAAAAATAAGGGAATACGTAAATTAATTTTATGCAATGACGTTAAATATATTTTTTTTATTAAACCTAACTACCCCCCCCCCCCCCATCTTGGCCCAATTACTTTTGTTTTATTACCTAATATGATTAAAAAATCTCAAATATATATTGCGATGTCTCGGCAATATCAAAAAGATCTAAGAAGAAGAAAACGTGATGAATTTTTCCCTAAAATAAAATCACGCTAGAAAGATGTAGTAGGGAAGCAAGCAAATGATTAATTGTAAACCGATATTTCTGACCACCCCTATGAGGTCCTGGATAAGGTTGTTCTTGAGGTCGGTGGGCTTGACATGCAGGGACGTATCCTTGTAGTATTTCTCCTTCTTCATCTTCTCCCTGGCTCTGTAGACCTTTTGGCACTCGGCTGAGTGCGGTTTTACAATGTTAAACATGTGCTCCTGGCCCAATCCCTGAGCCTCGCAACCAGGATAGTCGCACTTGTAAAGGTTGTTATTTTGATTGATGGGCAGGCTGGGGTCGGTTATGACGACGAAAGTGCGGCCCTCGTGTTTAAGAGAGGGTTTCCGAGCGATGGAGAATAGATGGCTAAGGGGATTGGTTTTGGGTGATTTGTAGGTGGGAGCTTTATTTTTTAAAGTTAAAAAAATAAATAAAATAATAAATATTATGCAACGCGAAAAATGGTATCCCTTTTCAGCTACGAAAAAGTTGATTCACATGTGTTTAACACGTGCCAGATTTTTAAACCAATAAAATAATATTCTAAATTAACTATTTTTACGTTCTTTCTTTCTTAATTTTAAGATGAAACGGAATTGTATTGAGAAATATGTATTTTAAAAAAAGATATTACTTGTATAAAGGATGGCTGGTGGTTGATTCGAAGCTAGTTTAAAATTTTGACAAAAAAAATGTATAAATCTATCTATTTTCAACTAATTTTAACAAATCAATGTTATTTTCCTGTAAACTCAAACCTTTTTTTTCAAATTTACATTATCTCCCTCAGTAAATGATACAAAATTGAGGAATTCGGAAATTATCATAGATTTCAAATAATCCCAAAATTACATATTATTATTTTTATTTATTGCTCAAACTGGGTAATACGTAATATTTTATTTATGGGAGAATACTTATTTATTCATTTTTCGATACATATATATATATCTATTGTAAGTGTTGTTAAATGGTTCGTTTTGAGCCGAATTTTAAAAACGGCTAAACTCAATATTTCATCCAGAATACTATTACGCAAGGCCTGAAGATTTTGTTTGTAAGAAAGAAAGAAAAAAAGAAAGAATCTATTAGCGAAATCTCGAGGCTTAGGCAATATTTTTCAGGCTAAAATTTTGAGTTGGCTGTTTTTAGAAATCGGCTCAAAACGAGCCACAACACTTATCTATTGTATATTTCATTCTTATCATTTATTATTTTATTAAATAACGGTTAATAAATGATCCCCTCTAACACCACTAAAAAAAGAGCAAAGCAAGGCGCAAAAAAAACAAACTTAATACAAATCACGCGGAATGCGGAAGGAGGATCTGATATTGGCCAACTGTTAAAAACATTATAGCAGATTTAAATGATAAGGTTTGATGCGTAACCATTTTGTAATATAAGTTTGATTTAAATAACTTTTTAGGGTCGCCAAGGATATTCGCGAGTTAGAAAAACCGAATGAAGCGATATCAATGTGATATCACTGATATATATTTGGATATGTTTGGAAGTTTTTTTTCAAAGATGTCGTCTCAGACCAAGCTTTCTCTAAATTAATTCTAAATAGATTCTGACTAGTGTTGTTAAACGGCTCGTTTTGAGCCGATTTCTAAAAACGGCAAACTCAATACTTTAGCCAGAAAAATAATTGCCTAAACTTCAAAATTTCCACTAATATATTGTCTAGATCTATGTGCCTTCTAATGTACAAAATCTTCAGGCTTGCTTAATATTTTTCTGGTTGAAATATTGAATCAGTCCGTTTTTAAAAATCGGCTCAAAACGAGCCGTTTAACAACACTAATTCTGACACTTATTCTAGGAGGTGAAGAGGGGGGGGGGAATTAAATGTACCTAATGCATTTTTTTTAAAAAAATAACGGGTTGCATAATTATAATAATATAAAATTAAATTAGAATATATATATATTTTTTAAAAAATATCAAAACCTCTCGGTACAGTTGGAGCTGGATTGGATATAGCTGGTGGTCCGAAAAAGGTTGTACTATCTAAAATAAAAACATAACAATAATAATAATGGATTAGAAGGCAAAATTATTATTATTAGATAATTTAAGGTATTAATAGAGAAGGGGAAAAAATGGGGGGGGGGGGTTCAAGAGAATGAATTAAATAAAACTATTTAAACTAATGTTTCTTTTTCCTAGTTAATCACGTGGCGATAGTTTTATATTAAAACAAAACGTTCCTTGTGTACCCTTTAACATAAAACAAAACAATTTTGGTAAACCCAGAGTTCTAAAATTTATCATCTAGGCGAAACCGAACCTGATAAAGGCAAAAAATTGCTATAGGTTCTCTTTTTTTATATTTCGAATTTCCAACTCATATATGGAAAGGAAAAATTAGACCCAAAAATATTTGTCAAAATGCATGCACGGTGTATTCTAACGAATCTATTATATGATTTAAAGGAGTGGGCATGGTTCCTATCGGCACACGTAGCAGATGGTTGTGAATAAAAAAGGCAGATGAAAGCGGGTCGAAAAATAAATGGTAGCTAGGAGAAAAACTTCATACCGAAATTTGGGAGATAGGAATAATATAAACCTAAGTAATTAAGATCGTTGCAGTGAAACAAGAATATAGCTGCCCCTTACCCCCCCCCCACCCAAATATAGAGCCCAATGTATTTTCTAAAGTATTAGGAAACTAGTAGGAAACTAGTATACCTAATGTTATAACATTCTATTATTATGACCTTACCCCTAATAGAGTATGTTTTCCGTAGAGCTCAATGCATTACCTAAAGTATTAGGAAAATTGTATACCTAATGTTATAACATTCCATTATTATGATCTTTACCCCTAATAGGAACTCCGTTAACTATACTGCCCAAAGCGCTTAGGGGGTTTTTGTTGCGGGTATCCTTCCATTCCAGTTTTGGGAGAACGTAAACGGCTTTTGAGGTATTTGTCCCGTTCGATTCATCTTTATCAAAAGGTGACGGTGAGGACAAAAATTGTTGCGTCATGGCATTATTCATCATAGATCTGATTTTGGTTATATAATCCTTTTGGACGGCTACTTGATTTTTCCAAGAAAATGGGTCTATCTTATTTTCTTTTTTGTAAATAAAATTATGTGTTTTTTTTGTAAATAAAAATTTGGTCGGCATAGGCATGTGATATATAGTAACTAAGCTAAATTTAACACATTCATTAAGATGCATTCTTAAGGGTACTATAGGGTCAGCTGTAACAGCCATTTTATGGTCCTGCTAGTTGATTAAAGATGCCTTGGAAAACTGTATATATATTTAAACAATATTTAAAATTAAAAGATAAATGTCATTTAGTATATGGTAGACCATAAAATGTCGTCTACAGCTGCTTCCAATATTCAATATAGACGCATTTCAGAGGTTATGGGTGCCTAAATTAATTTATGCACGATGCTCAAATTTTTTGGCTTAACGCTCCCACTCACGATAATCAAAATTTTGATCGCTAAAAGGTCTAGCATAGTGAAACGGATCAACTTGAACCGATTTTTGAAGACGGCTAGCTCAACATTTTATCCAAACAAAATATTATGCAAGCCTAAAGGCTTCGTTCATAGATGACAACAAAAAAAAAGTAGGGACATCTATTAGTGAAATTCTGGAGAATTCAGGCATACTAATTTTCTGTCTAAACTTATATAGAGCATGATTACTAATATTTTACACTTTTTAAATTTTTATTCTCTTATATTATTATAATTTTCCCATTTTTCCCATAATTTGTACATAGATAATCGGGTAACTACTACATATTTAGCCACTTAAGCCAATTTTTTAGCCGGCTAAAAAAAACGGCCTACCCGAGTTCTAGTCGTAAAACTATAACTTTGACCTTGAGAGGGTATTTCTTCAAGATAATAGCAGTTCAAATTAGAAAGAAACTGTTATAAAGTAAAAACACTTATTTGTTAAAGGATTTTCTCTAGCACGTGCCTCTATAATTATAATTTCCACTAATTAACGTCACCATTTTTAAATCAAAATTTTTATTTCAAAAAAAAATAATAAAGAAAAACAATATAATTTTAGTTTTCAATAAATTCCTGAGATAATCTACCAAAAAATATTTTTGAAAATAATATTCTAGAAATAAAATTCGTACAGATGTGTTCATTAAATGAAGTTTGGTGAGGATAAGATTTATAATATAAAAAAAAATACGAGGTAATAAAATCAGAACAACAATGTAACAAAATGGTTCAAGTAACATAAACCGAGCTATTAAGTGTTACAATTGTCAAGAAACCTATCCTAAAAAAAAAATCTAACTAATAATGAGTTGTCCAAAAGTAGAAAACCTGTTTGGGAAATTCGAGATAAAAAGTTATATTACCTATCATATTGGTAATGTATGGAAGCCAAATGAGGATGATTTTTATTTTTTGAATTCGATAAAACTCCTTTGTAACCTACAGGCCCGGCTCTAAGCCCAAGTATGCAGCAATGCCATATTTTAATATTTTTTTAATATACCAAGGCCGGATCATGCGAATGGTACCTCAGATCACTGCCATATCTTAAGTTAAAATTTGCAAATTTAGATATGAAAATTTCAAAAAATGACATTAATTATATAGAAAAGCGTCAATTGACGATTTTGGTCCATTTTAAGTAAAGGCAAAATTTTGATATTTTTTTTTCTAATGTTTTTAAAAAACAAACCAGTCTTGTCCTCTGTCACTGAATTAATCCTTCGTATGAATGGCTTCATATATTTACGGCCTCTCTTGCGCAGGAAGTCTCCAGTATCCCCGAGGAAATCTATCAAATATATGGGTATAAAAATTTATATTATCGTAGCTCTGGCACTCACTATTACTACCGCTCCTACGATTAGTCTCGGTCTAAATTAACTCGAGTCGATAAGCGGTTACGTGACCTACCCAAAATCCCTAGCAATTTCCCATGGGATAGGAACCTTTCTCTCATTTCCTCAAATGATTACTCATCGCGAATCCCAATGTTAGCAAAATCATCTTGTAATAGTGCATCAAACATTAAGACCTTTCAAAGTTTTTTTTCTCAGAAAACGGGAGATCGGGGAGGGGTGGAGCATATGGAAACATTTCAAAGGTACGGCAGCAATACCCGAACGATCAAACTTCTGATTTAACTTATCCGAAACCTAAAGTGGTAGGGTAATGGATGGGGATCAATGTTACTTACAAAATCACAATTGGGGAGTTTTTTTTTAGTTTGGACAACTCTCGGATTCAAACCTGGATATTAGGATCTTTACATCCGTTTGTTCTTTAGTAAGTAAGCAGTAGTATAATTTTTCTTGCAATACATAAATAAAGCTTAGATTGAAAGATAAAAAGTGTTTAAATCGCATTCTGTAACCATCCCGTAAAATAGAAAGAAAAGAGAGAACTTAAAAGAAAGGAAATATGGAAAGAAATAAATGAGAAGATAATAGACATAGACATATATATTGTTAAATTACCAAAATTAGGCCAAGTCTAAACAGGCTTAGCTAAACTTTCAGCCTTAAAAAAAGTAATGATAATAAACCTTCTAAATTTAACACCAACTTGAAGATTGGGGGAGAATTCTTTAAGGGCAAAAAAACTAAACTAAGCAGTTTATGGAGCGGCCAAAATTAAGACAAAATTACTAGGAACAAGCTTATTTAAATGCATACCAGGACTGTCATCATCGTCAACCCCCACTTCGTCCTCTTCTTCATTAATCACAAAGTCTTTGAACGCTTCTGGAAAAATGTTTTTTTGAAATTAAAATTCTATTATTTTTTTTTAGACAAAACGAGTTGTTAAAATAAAATATCTAGATATACCGTTTCTTTAACTTAAATATATTTTTTATAAAAGTATCGGTATTATCTAGAAACATTCTAATAGTATCTTTTTATCACCTCTGGTAATTTTGGAAGAAGTGGAGAAACGAGAGAAAAAAAAGATACGAGTCAAGTCAAGATGGTTAGCATTGACTTGATTACAATGTGGCTAAGGGTTATTTATTAAAATGTTCAACGAGAAGCGGAAGCCAAATTGACCAATTCTGGTTCATAGAAAGGTGGATCGGAGCTGAGTCAAACTTGTTTTATACTCTAAAACACGAAATTGTTATTTTCGGGAACAAACTAGCCTGAAAAACAGCTCTCCGTTATTTAATTAATAAACATAATATTTTTTTATATATTTATTTACCATATTTCTTGGATCTTTTGCAATTTTGGGTAAAAGCCCTAAGATTTAATCTTTCTGATAGTTCATATGTTTAATTTTGATAAAATAAAAATATTTAGATTTATTTATTAGTATAATATTTTTTTAGTTATATAATCAAATTTATCTTTTTTTCAAAAAAAATATTTTTATATTCAACAAACCATTTCGAATTGGCGATTCTTGCTTGATGGGCATTAACTGAGACTGTGGATCGAGCTTGTTTGAGTTAACCTCTATTTATTTATACATCATATATATATTTCTGTTATTCAAAATCGTTATTAAAGAAATAAGAGAATTTTTTATTTGATAAAATACCAATATCCCCTTACTTAACCACATTTGATTCACAAAATCCCATAAAACCCCCCCCCCCCCTTCTCATGGACTAAATAAAATGTAAATAGGGCTGAGACTGCAGTCCTTTTAAATAATAAGGATATCTGTTCTCTTTTTCTAAAGAATGTAAATGCATGCATAAGGTTTTGGCAACTTAAAAAAATAATTCTGTCCTATGGGGTACAAGAGTTGAGTAGTATCGCAAAGACTTGTGGTTAAAATATTAAATATAGATACTGAAAAAAAGAAAGAAGGAAAGATAGAAAGAAAGAAAATAATTTAGAGAGTATTTGGTATTCGTATTTATTGGGGATAATTTAGAGCATTTTGTATTTATTCGAATAAATTAGATGTTTAGTGTTTGCATTTTAAATACAAAAAGTGTCATATATTTATTAAAGATTAAAATACTTTTAGTTTTCTGTAATATATATTTATCGTGGGAGATAGTAGCATGTCACATAAAATTATGTAATAATCGTGAATATAATTGTGAAATTGCTCAATTAATTTCACTTATATTGTTGATTTTGGGGTGATATTTTGACAAAAAAAATCCCATCCAAAATGTCAAAATTTTACATTTAAAGGATTTTCATTGTCACAACCCTAAAAGCTTAAAATACAAGTGTTTTCCTGAATATGAGCTAGATCTAGTAATCGCATAAAAAAAGGATTTCGATATTAAGCTATTATGTTTATATAAAATATTTTCCCCCGGTTTCTGTAAAAACGTCAACACCCTCTAAAAATGTAAATTTGGCAATTTTGGATGCAAATTTTTTGTTTTCCAAAATATCGTCAAAAATTAATAAATATAAGGTGTCTGTATTCAAAACAAATGTTTTTTATTCTAAATACTTACTTAAATATTCATATAAATATTAAATACAAAGTATTTGCATTATGAAAACTATGTGTATCCATTGAGTTTTATAGTAAAGTGGTTTTAGAAAAAGTTTTACCTAATAATTGTGAAACTCGTTTTCTAAGTCGAATATTCCGGAAATAGTTGTATTCATCCGCCGATCTTGTAACAGATGCTGACGCTATAATTTATAGGGGGGGAGGAAGTGGGGGTAAATATGTATAAAAAAAATTAAGTTGCAATATATATTCCTTTATGCATGAGATATTATTATAAAATGGAAACAAAAATAAGTTTTTTCTTTATTTGATATTCCCTAAGTTATTCTTACTGTTCCAACTAAGATTCTGGCAGTCCTCCAATGCCTGACCGAACCTGAATCATACAGACTTTGGAATTCGTAAATCAAAACTAGGGTTATAAAGTATATTTTGTTTTTTTTAGGTTAGCACCTTTATTTTAAATTTTAAACATCAAATTACGGAACGCTAAATCATGGTTTCATATTTATTATTTATATTACTCTTGGGGGAACCGTTTGTCGCTTTACAAATGGCTCTGTGATCATGGGTAGGCGTGAAATAATCGCCAACCAATATCCCTCTTCCCGGGCATTTTTTACTGCAACACTTGTAATAAGTAGCGCCACCTTTGTAACTGTATTTCAGGTAATTGAAGCCATTGAATGTCGTTTTGAGACTAGAACTGTGCTTGGATGGAATGCTGTCTGGGAAAGCAAAAAAACAACAATTTTTTTATGAATTAAATATTCATGTTTTCAAAAAAATTTTTACCGGGCATTGCTAAAATTTCGTCAACACTTCTTTTCGCACTTAGCGAGGAGTCTATATTTGTCGAAATAACTAAATTTAATAATGAACAAAAATTTATTTATTTTTTGACCATAGATATGTTGATTGATTTAAAATAAAATCAGAAATATTCTATAAAAAAAATATATTGTATTCTTATGTAAATTATTTTAAAAAAATTCTTAAATGGTTAAAAAAAAGAAAAGGAATTTGGTAAATAATTCTAAAAACAAAAGTAGGATCATACTATGGAGTAGTGTTGTTAAATGGCTCGTTTTAAGCCAATTTTTAAAAACGACTAACTCAATATTTTAGCCAGAAAAATATTACCTAAGCCTTGAGATTTAGAAAATATATGTAAAGACCTTTGTTCCTTCTATGAGCAAAATCTTCAGGCTTTAGTAATATTTTTATGGATGAAGTATTGAGTTTTTTTTAAAAAATCGGCTCTAAATGAGCCGTTTAACAACATTACTATGGAGGACTGGGTGCTAAAAAGTTAGATAATGACAGGTGAAGCCATTCATTGGGATCTCTTGTAACTAGTTATTTTTTTCCCTAAAAGTTTTTATAATTGAAAGGCAACTTTCAACATAGACCAGGGCAAGGTGTTAATCATTAGATTTCACCAATAAATTGACACAAGTGTAGAGGTAAGTTGTTAGACCAAGATATTAGGGAACTACCATATTCTTTTTTATTGAAGATACTTAGTTGAGTGTGAATATTTTAGCTTTCTTGATAGCTTGAAAAATAATATTGTTGATTGTTTTGTGATAAGGTGACATTCACAGGAATACTTGCAATAAAGTGGGTGATGGCCTTTAAGTAACACCTTAAGAATTTTTGAAGAGATGACCTTCCATTCTAATCAATCATTATAAAACCTTTAGAAAAAAATAACAGCGTATACCAGAGATCCAAATGATTACCTCTATCCAAGGATATTATATAAATATTAAGAATATATAAGTAATAAAAACAAATCTACATCCTATTGTTAATAAAATAAAAATATATATTGTTGAGAATCTTTGATTATTAATAGTGTTGTTAAATTACCTAACTGTGATCATCTCTATTGTAGTTTAGTCAAGCTTTTAGCCTAAAATATTGAATTAAGCCTCTAAGTTGAGTCTCAACTTGAAGATTAATTCAAATATTATTGGATAAATACATAGCTACGCTGTTTTATAGTTGATTAAAGTTAGGTAATTTAACTACACTAATTATGAATATAATATATATTGTTGAGAATCTTTGATTATGAATATAATATATAAGTAATATTATAAAAAATAATTATTATGTCTTAAATGTATAAATTATTATCTTATTGAATTTGAATAAACTATGAATGTATTCTATTATAATAAAACCTTAAATTGACTTTATATGAAAAAATAATCTATAATAAATGAAATATTATTAATAATTCACTTAGTATTATGGTAGTTTAAGGAAATATTATAATTTAGCATATAAAATACCTTTGTCATTTTTATAATTATTTGTAACATTATCTTCATCATCATTTTTGACACTTAATTCAAAGCTATCCAACCTTTTGGTGATCTTGCAATCAACATCATTATTGTCAACATCTTTCAATTTTATATCAATACTTTTTACATCAGTATTTTTGGCTATACCTTGTACTTGTTTATTTTTATCTTATGTTTATTTTAAAATATTATCAGAAAAATAAGCAGAATGTTGAGGAAGCATTATTTAATACAAATGCTAAAAAATAATTCTATTACAAAATAATTTGCTTTATTAAATTATTTCTACAAATTGAATTATAAAAAATCTTGCTAAAAACATGACATATTAAAAATAACCATAAAAGGAATAAATTATAATTATACTTGATAATTGAAATGACTTAATCTGCTCTGGATTAAGTCTATCTATTAGAATTTTTAGTTTAGTGTTCAGATTCATTGACAGGCGACATAGAGTTATATTAAAAAGGCAGACATTATTATTTCATACATTTTAAGCGAAATCGTTAAGATATATGATTGACATATTATAGCGTTATAATTTGTATAGATTCGAAATTTTTTTAAAAAAATTTTAATTTAATTCTAAAATATGTTCAAAATGTAATTTTAAATATTAAAAGTTTTTAATTGTTAAACCGATTTTATTGTAAGGTTATTTTATGATATATATTTATTTTATCATTAAATATTCTAAAATTACCTGTAATATTTAAAAATAATATTTAAATACTTTATTTACAAAAATCTTAAAAGTATAAAAGAAATAATAGGAATTTAATGAAAATTATTAGAAATTCTAATGAAACTTTAAAGTCAGGTTAATTTTTCTTTACACAAAAAAATAATGATATAATTATTTTTAACTATAATTACAATAATAAGAATATGATTGGCATTTATTATTTCACAAATAATTATCACAATTATAGTGTCTTCAAACAGACCACAGATGTATAGAAAATTTAATAAATGTGTTTATATATATATTTGTATAAATAATATATAAAAAATTTATATTCAAAATGGGTACAAACGTCGATATATTATATAACCAAATTAGTATAAAATTTTTTGAAAAAACATAAAATATAAAAGTTTTACTCCTCCTGTAACAATAAATCCTCCAACAAGGAATAATTGATAACCGTGCTTTTAAAGAATCATAACAATATTATTTTTGGCATAAGGCTCTGATATTGTTACATAAACCTGTGACGATTGTAATAAAGACATGTTATCATAGATATCCATATGCACAATCTCATGTGATAACGATTTATGCTTCTGAGTATTTTTTTTATAACCGTCATAGTCGTGCCATTCGATTTCCCCTCCTGCACCCTGGTTGCGATGTGAAATCTTTTTATAAATGATTATTCTTCCCTTACTCATTAGTAGGTAATTTTGTAATTTATTAAACGAAAAATCCATATGTGATTTGTAACGTAGCTCATGCGATTTATTTCTTTCTTTCTATAGATACGGCCTTAGGTAACGCTTTTTGTTATATTTGAAAGTTTATATATATTTAAAAAGGTTACGCTATTTGAATTATATATTATTATAACTTTCTTACATTTAATATTAACTTATGGAAGTCAATGTAATTGCATATTAGTGGAAGTTAAATGACATAATTATAAAATACTATATATATAGGAAACAATTTTATAATAAAGAATCTATTGTTTTGACTATAAAAAATGGCGACGAAACAAAAAAAATCTAAGTCGCGCGGTTTTCGGTCTTCGGTCAAGTTTAATAATATATAGAATTATATATATTTAGAAATTATGGATAAAATTATTCTCCAGGACTTTAAAAAGGAAGATTGTTCTATCGAGGACTACGTTGATTATATCAAATATATACTAAATGTGAATATTCCTCAAACTGACGCCACTTTAAAAAAATTATTTATAGATTATGTAGGAATAAACATTATAACTGATATCAAAAAATTACTCTATCCTAGGAATATAGAGGAGGTAGGTTGGATTGACATATGCAAAATAGAAAAACAACTATATAAAGATGAAAGAACTATTTTGGCATCAAGAATTGATTTCATTAGATTAAGTCGCGGGCCTACTAAATCCGTAATGAGCTATTTAAAAAATATAAAGGAGCTAACCCGAAGATGCGAATTTGAAGACAATGTAGAACTGAGAATTCGAGATCAATTAATCGCCGGACTAAAGATGTCACAACTGGATAAAGAACTACGATTAAGATATCCAGATACTAAAGATGAAGACCAACCGTTTAGCTTAAACAAAGTGGTAGAATTGGCTTTAGCGATGGAACGAGCTGACTTAGAAATAAATAATACTGCTGAAATGGTATATAAAATCAAAAAGCCGTATAAATATGATAATAATAATCGGATAAATCAACATGATAAAAATAATCGGCAGTATAATAATAATGATAATGATAAACGGCACTAACAAAAGGAAAATAAAGCATATGTAAAAAGAGAACTAGTGCCCGGGTATAATAACTACCATACAAATAATAATAGTAATTGGAGAAAACCATGCTATTTCTGTAATCGGTTTCATGCTATTAGAAATTGTCCCGCCTACGGAAAATTGTGCAGCAAAGGTAGGAAACCAAACCACTTCGCAGTATGTTGTAAAGTTAAAAAAAAGATTTACGCAACAAATTACAATTATAAAGAAGACGATTCGGATGTCTCAATAAGAAAAATATACAAATATGGGCAACAACCGCCTAATAATCCCCCTATAGGAAATTCCTGGATACCCCTATGGGTAAAATTATGCAATCGGACGGAATTGAGGTATTAATAAACAACCAAAAAATTAAAATGGAATATGATACTGGCTCGGCAGTAATCATTATTAATGAAATAATATGGAATAAAATCGGAAGGCCAAAACTTAGAAGAGCTAAAACACCAACTACATGTGGAAATAATAGAATAAAAATTATGGGTGAAGCTGATGTAAAAATACAATTAAATAATAACATAAAATGACTTCCATTATTAGTGACACAAACAAATGATGCAGCTCTATTTGGATTTACATGGATTATCGAATTTGACTTATCGTTACCAAAAAATGTAAAAATCAATATGATCAACAATAGATATAAATACAATGATAATGGTAAAGTAAATATTGACAAACTATATAAAGAATTTTCTACGGTGTTTGATAATAAATTAGGATTAATGAAAAATGTCGAACCAGTAAAACTACAATTGGAAGAAAATACAAAACCATTTTGCACTGCCAGCTAGAGGAGTACCGTTGCCTTTAAAATTAGAAATTGAAAATAAACTGAAACGTTTAGAAAATAATATAATCAAGAAAATAGATCCATCAACAACAAGAGTATCCTGGAGTACTCCAATAGTAATGGTACTTAAAACTTCAGGTGAACTACGATTATGTGGAGATTTCAAAGTAACATTAATTAAATATCTACTAAAAGACTATGACATTCTACCAACGTTTGAAGAATTAATAGCAAATATAGCGAATGGAAATAAATTTACAACATTTCTCAAAAATGCATACCTACAAATGAGCATTGACGATGAATCGCAAGAATTATAAACAATGGTAACACCAAATGGAAACTACCGCTATTTACGATTACCTTTTGGTATAGCTACAGCACCAATAATATTTCAACGATATATGGACGATTTACTGGCTGATTGTAAAGATACAGCAGTTTATTTAGATGATGTTAGAATCACAGGGAAAAATGATACTGAACATATAGAAAATATAAAACAAGTCCTCAGAAAATTACAAAATGCGGGATTAAAAGTCAAAACAAGCAAAATAAATTTTATGAAAGAAAAAGTAACATATTTAGGATACATAATAGATCAAAATGGAATACACCCTTATAAAAATAAAATAATAGCAATACAAAAATATCCAACGCTAAATATATTAAACTATTATAAACGGTTCATACCAAACTTACATGGAATCATAGCCGAATTACATAATAAAATTAGTAAAAATGTTAAATGGAATTGGACTAAAAAGGATGATATTTGAAAAAGCAAAAGGAATAGTAACAGAACACAATATTATACAATTTTATAAACCGGATCTTGAGTTAATACTAGAAACATATGCATCAAACCAAGGATTTGGAGCTGTACTCTTGCAAAAATATGGTAATGGTAAGAATACCCTATAGCTTACACCTCGAGAACTTTACAAGATGCTGAAAAGGATTATTCGACAATCGACAAAGAAGCCAAAGCCATAGTAAACGGCGTAGAAAAATTTCATAACTATTTGTATGGACGAAAATTTAAAATACGAACGGACCTTAAACATTTATTAAAGATATATGGGGATAACAGAGATTTAAACGCCTTAACAAACCAAAGATTGTTACGTTGGGCTCATAAATTATCTGCATATGATTATGAAATAATGTATAAGATTGGCGCAAGTAATATAATTGCAGATCCTTTATCGCGAAACCCAATAGAGAAAAATGATAATAAAATAACAAGTGAAAATAAAACAGTGAAATATATACGAAATCTTACTTATGACACATTAACTCTATCAAGAAAAAAACTAGAGATGAAACTACGAAAGATCCAATTTTAAGAAGAGTAAAAATATTATTAAATGGTGCAAATATACAAAATCAAGCACCAGAATTATTAGCTTTTAGAACAAGAATAGATGAAATAGAAAATGATGACGGTATCCTATTTTGAATGGTCGCTTAATAATTCCATATTCACTACAAAAACGAGTTTTATAGATATTACATACAGGTCATCCCGGTATTAGATCAATGAAATCCATTACGAGACATTATATATGGTGGGAAAAATTAGATAAAGATGTCGAAAAATTAGTCAACCGTTGTATTGGGTGTCAAAAACATCGCAGAGATATACCAGAAGTTGCCGTATACCCATGGAATCTGCCAGCACAACCCTGGGAAAGGGTACATTTAGATTTTTCCGGACCTCTAGACGGATTTTATTGGCTGGTAGGAATCAATGAATTTCAAAATGGATAGAGATTGATCAAAGATACCACAAGTAAAAATTTAATAAATAGATGAGAAAAATGGCTTACACGATATGGTGTTTCACGTCAGATTGTCACAGACAATGGTCCACAATTCATTTCAAATGATTTTACATGGTGCAAAAATAAGAATATACAACACATAAAAACTACACCATACCATCCGAGAAGTAACGGATTAGTTGAAAGATGCATACAAACTATAAAAAATCGGTATTTTGCTAATAGAGAACAAACAAATGATGGGGAAAAATGTCTTAATGAAGTATTAGTTACATATAGAAATTCCGAACATCCTCAACGGGCCAAATACCTGCCAAACTATTTATGGAGAGAAGACTAAATACTTTATTAGACTGGGTGAAACCATTAATTACTGAAAAATTAGAAACCTCTGTAGTAAAACACGATCAGTTAAACAAAAGCATACATAGAGA